TTAGTAGAGCACGTTTGGGCTCTGACAAGTGCGCATCTCCGACCTTCCTCGGATCGAATCAATCTAAAACTCTTCCCAGTTGGAACGTGTATGGCAAGCAGTCTCGCGGGAGGACATTCGTCAACTGCACGAGTCAATGTACAGTCGAATAACAGCTTGCATCAGGGACAGATGTAGGCCAAAGTAGCGTTGAATTTTGTGGTCTTATAGGTGTATTTCCTGAACAAAGTATTTAATTATTCTTCTTATGAACTGTTACCGTTTCGTTTTTAATACATGCACATTGTATTTACCAATTTTTATTCCATTCGCATAAGTCCTTTGTTGCGTCACTTTTATGTTATGGAGTGTGTTATAAAATCCTGCGGAATACTGTGTAGTTCTTGTTAATGTAAATGACACTAAAATTTTTATGAATTGAATTTCGAATTAATCAATGTGCAATAGTAATGATTCACTCGCTCTTGTAACTCATTCTAATGTATTTTCGCTGAGGATGCTGAAACAGGAGTTGCATGCAATAAAATGGGCTTTTGGATTATAAAATATGAGCTTTTTATCTTGAATGAGGCTCAACATATCCCAGTTAAGAAAATATATGCTGTTGGGAACCCCAGTGTATGCTTTGTTCTTGCATATACAGTAGCCTTTGCTTTGTTCTTGTCTTCAGAAACCATTTTTCCTTATCTGTTGCCAAGTATTTTGCTTAATATTTTGTTTAGATTTTCCTTTTCACCTATTCCTGGTATTTTATTCATCTCACTCTCTAATAAGGTTTCTTTTGATGTGGATGCTCACTGTTGGATGCCTGATTCTATAATGGAAAAATAGATTGATTAATTACAAATCTTATTGTTGAGTAAATGATAAGTTTTAAATAAAAATGTTTATTTCTTCATGAATGGCAGTAATCTTTTGTTTGCGGTTTAACTTGGCTATGTCTCAGACCTTAAAAATATCCTGTTAAACACAGAACACGAACTGGAAAATAATTACTTTTATTATTATTTTTACCTGAGTTACATTGAAAAGATGCTTTATATAAAGTAAACGATTTAAAATTGCTTCATTTAGTTAGAATTCTAAGGTGGCATTTCCTTCCGAGTTTAGATAAATGCAAGCATTGCCATATTAACTTACCCATTTGGAAGGGGGCACGAGTTGATAGTGATTCAGTTTATATTCTTGTATTTTATAATTTTATAAGCCCAAGGTAGAACTTAATTTTAACATTATGTTGTCGGGAAATCTGTTGATACACTGGGGTAATAGCGTATCAGCTATTTAAATTCTGCAAGACCGGTCTTGCAGATTTCTTTGTTCCTGACGAAGAGGGACCTGTACCTACTTGCCCTAGAAATCGATTGAAATCTTGACATAAATCTACACCAAACTCAAGGTTGTTGTGTTACTAAGTCTATGTAAGAATTCCTTAATGTAATAGAAACAAAATAAACTGCACATTAGTGTAAAGGTTTGCATTAGTTATATGCTTACACTTGTGTAATATGTTTGCAGTGATATGTTTTGCATATTTTTATTGAGTGCAACCTATAAAATACTAAAGAATCCAAACTATAATATTATTACCATATTTAATATTCTTAATGTTTCTGTTTACATAATTTACAAATTAAACTTCAGCGTAGTTATCTATGCTATATGAATATCATGTTTATATACACGTAGTTATAATCCATGGTTTCATATATTCTTGGAGAGTCGTGGAATATAATACTCATGGATAGAGGACGCTATGGTCAGACTCAGAGATTTTGAACGTGAAATAAAGCTTTCGCATTTGATTTGAAATTTCTCCATCAAATTCTCTTCCGATAGCTGCATACGCCAAATATGATTTCATCCGAAGTACAATAGATTCGAATAAGAGGACTAGATCTACTTTCGAAGTAACTCTTGCTATAAGGTATTCATAAAATTGTAAAAGAAAGGTATATTTCAAATAAGTTCAAATTGAACTTCATATTGACCAAGTACGAAATTCTGAAATTTTTTGTGAAAAAGGGAAGAAGCAATTTAATTATTCAGATTTTTATACCATGAATTATGAGCAGTTTTATATATTCATACAGAGAGAGAGACAGGTAAGAGTGACAACTGTGAGAAACTATTAAAACAAATTACTCAAATTAATAAACAATTATTTCAGTTACGTATTACATTCTAAAATGGTATTAAACAGTTTTAAACTGCTTAAAGCTGAAGAGGCGTAATACACTTGTGTATAGAAAGAATATAAAAAGAGATAAAAATTAAAATTATTCAGATAATGGAATAAAATACAGTGATGAAGATAAAATTAGTCTTATAGAGTTCCACAATAAAAATGCAAAATTCCATTGCAGCTTTGAAAACTGTTTAAAGGTAGACTCTGGCCCTTAATGTATTGATTAGTGATTGATGGTTATTGCTTATTCCCCATCTTTGAACGGACAAGCTCGTGGATAATTATGAAAGTTCCCCAGAGTACATCTGTGACTGGTCACAGAGTTAGGAACCCCCCCCCCCCAGCCTCGTCGAGATTAACTTGGAGGATGAACTTCAGGGGTTCCAGATGTTCTTCTTTTACGGTAACCACTTCATAAGAACTGAAACCAAGAGCTTTTAAATGAAAGAATACACAGACAAACACTCCCCCCCCATTATTTTAATGTAATTGACGTTTTTGGCCTCCACTGACAATCATACCGACTGAGCACCATTACATAATATAATATACTAAAGTGTGTAGTAATATATAGCATATCATATTTGGTTGTATGTACATAACTGAGTTAACTGCAACCGATTTAAAGTGCCAGGGGCAGGTTTAAAAGGAAGTTTACTCAATGTGAGAGAGCGGTGGAAAATAATAAGTATACAAAAGCTTTCATTAGAGAAATTAAAACTAAATTTCTTTTCTTCTACTTCTTTCAAACTATTGAAAACACTTTTCCAGTTACATTATAAAGCATAAAGCTCGATCTTTGTATTTTACGTTGAAATTACAAACGTAATGAAAAATAAGTGATTTTAATGCATTTTGGATATATCGAAATTGTTCGGTAAATGAAGTATTTTAATTAAATACTGGAATCATCTTTTAATTATTTAGAGTCTAACTGATGTAAGATCTGTACACCATCTTGAATTTTAATAATTAAAATTTAAAAGCAAGTAACATGGTCTTTTTTTATCCAATTTTTCGGATGATATTTTTACATGCTTTCAAAGAACAGACATTATGTGTCGTTTCTTCAAAAGTACTGAGCTCATAAGTTTCAAATATACGTCAAACAGTATCGGTGTTCGGTGATATATTGTCAACAAAGATTTTATCATACAATAAATAAGACCTGCCTTTATATATTCGTACTGGTTGATTTCAGACATGCAGTTCAAATTTTACTATTACTCACTAATTTTACGTCAAATTACTTCTTAACGTCACTTTATAAGGTATTTCTCCCACTTTCCTAGCGTGCCTTCGTGGTGCACGCTGGGCTGGTATTCCAGAGGTCCGTGGTTCGATTGAGGTCAGTGACTGCTTGGATGGTGTAAGCAATCACTTGTTCCTGTTTTTGACAAACTGATGCGACGTCTAGCTTCTCTAGTGCCATATATACATGTTCGTCATTTCTCTTATGATTGTGACAGCTTTTTTGTGAATCGGTTTCGTTTCCTCTTTCATAGATTTTCCGCAATGGCTTTCAGTTTTATTTTTTCACCTCCTAGGAGGGACGGTTTAGATTAATCTAATCCAGTGTTTTTATGGATTTTAAGGTAATTCTTTTTTTAATAGAAGATTAATTACGGATGTAAGTCCTATAATTATGAATTAAAAATTATTCAACAAATGTATTTTATTCCACATTAGATTCTCGGTGGTTGAAAGAGCTGTCTGCTTGACGGGTTTTGAGGTTTGCTTCATGTGTGATATCAGTACAAGCAAGTTTTCCATAGAAAGTCTTCCACCCAGCTCCCCCTTTTAAACAAACTAGCGCTTGTGTACTTTTCCATAACGAAGTTACCAACCTAGTGCATTCTTAACATCATTATGGGCGCAGTGTGCTGAGGCTCCTACGATAATCACTCATAGAAATTAAATGAAATGGATTAGCATGTGACCTGTATGCTCATGAGAGCCCAATCGACTCCACCTATTTTATTTTTGGAAAAAGCAACTGCCTTGTTATGTAGCTTCTGCTACAAAAGAATGTCCAATGTTTTAGCAAGATTTCAATTATTATTTCCTTGGATGTGGAGGACAGATTTTCGAAGGAGGAGGTGTTCTCATATAATGCGTTCGTGCATATAGTCTAAGCAAGTCCTGTGCCTTTTCATGCACTGACATTAGAGCTGGAAAAAGTTCATAGTATGTCAATCATTCTTCTTATTTAATAGGTTAAATCTTAAGAGCTCATTGTGGATATATCACTTTCTTAGTTCGGAAGCAGCAGTTCTTGCTTGCAAAATGTAATTCGTTAATTCAGTTCATTTGTGCCTTTGCTATCTCATGAAAATGCCATAATTAAAGACAATTCACTCCTGACGTTTATCTTCTTTGTTTTTAAACAAGTGATTAAAAATAACAATCTGTCACAACAGCATCCAATAATGGCTAAACGTGCGAATAATATTTCTCTGCTAGCTCTTGTACTTTTTCAGCCAGTCATTTATCGGGAGAGCTTTTAAAGGGGGCGATTCAGATTTTATACCCTCTGCGTAAGTTAATATCGTGACCTGCACACAAAATCCATATCTCAGCCTCAGGAAGAGAAGGTTTTGCGGGGAGGGAATGTAGTTATCGTTCGTTTTTCCTTCCCAGAACGAAAGCTGCGCTCATTGTTTAAAAGCGCGGGCGTAGATAGGGGGATTGAATGGCTTGCCTGTCTCTGCTCCCCTGTCGCCTTCTCTCCCTCCACCTCCTACCCGCTTGACGTGACGTCATCAATGTAGGCGTAGAGCAGGCCGCTGGCTGCGGCAACCTCTCCCCTTCCGTCATTCGCCGCAAAGAGCGGTCCAGCAGTAAGCATGGCGTCCATCACTACCAGCAGCGATTTTCGTCGTAAGTTCGCGGGAATGTGCGGGGGCCGGTCGGGGCCACGGGCCCTGCTTTGAGAATGGGCCGGCCTCAGCGATGGAGGGCCTCGACCTCAGCCACTTGACAGAGGGGGAGCGGGTCAAGATTCTGAATGTTATGGCCCGCCAAAAGCTGGAAGAAGACCGCGATCAGGAGATCTTCAAGTCAGTCTCTCTCTTTCTCTTCTTTTCTCCCTCTCTCTCTATCAAACAGTGTATCGATATATATATATGTGTATATATATACATATAAATTATAGCTATATATAGCTCTTTAAATAGAGTAGTTTACCGTCGAAAATCATGCTATAACAGGGTATAATTCCCAATTTAGGATCGATTCACCAAAGGGAACGAGGCTTGGGGTAAACACATTAAGTTCATTATAATCCATTTCTGCGTAGGGATGGACTGTGTTGGGAGCCGATCCCTAGGCGCAATGGCCGCCCCCGATTCAGGTCAAGCGCTCCTTCCGGCGTTCCCTCGACCCATATCCGGGTGACAAACAGTTGCAAAATTCTTCAACTAAATCTCATTCTGAATGTGCCAATGAAGTCTTGAATATCATAGAACAGTTGCGAAAAGGCTGGCAAAAATATCTAAGAATCTATCACAGAGACAGACAAAATTGGAAGTCAAACAGTAGCCAAAAAGAACATTTTGTGATTAAGAAAAGATAATTAATAATTATCATAGCAGTATTCAAACGGCTGCTACATCTTATACATTTATTTTTCTTTCTTGTAAAACCAAGTGCTTACATCAAACGATTCATATGTACTAGAATTTGTTTATTACGCTGCTTTCAAAGTAATGTTTTTTGTAATATATATTTTTATTTTGCATAATTTTATTTTATTATTATTTTTTACTGGTATTTTATGAACCATGAAGAACAGAAGCACGTTTTTATTCATTGCTATAAAAATCACTATATCATTTTATTCGTTCTGATAATGTGATGCATAACTTACTAAATAGTATAACATATAATCACTAAGCATAAGATTATTGTTATCGGAAGTATAAGAATGTTTAATGTTTTCAAATGCAAAAATATTAGTATGTGTTTTAAATTATGAGAAACTGTAATTTCTGAATTGTGGTAAACTGAATTTTTAGATTTATTTTTTCATGTATAAATAAGTAGTTTACTCGTGCTTCATCTTTTATATATCTTGTTCTTCTTAATTCATAAAAATTACTAATTGTTTAAATTTTAAAATGTGAGAATTAGTTCATAAATATAAACTGAATAAAGCTATTGGACTCTTTTCTACTTTTATATCTTAAAGCTTATCATCCATTTTAATAATTAATCTGAAACCTGTTTTACCATTTTATTCAACAACGAATGAATGAGAAATATCATTGTTATTCAGAACTAAAGTAGCTGTTATGTGATATTGCCATTATCTATGAAGAAAGTTAAAGACAATGCTATACAAAAGCGGTGCTTCTTAAAGTTTACACTAATTGACTTTAAAGATTTTAATCACCTGCCGTAAAATCCGAAAAGAAATTTGTTGAGATATCCGATCACTCAAGTTTAAAACATGATTTTCAACAAAAATCTTTGATTAAATTCTGGATCAGAATTAGAATTGAAATGTCCCACAATTTCTGAAATGACAGTAAATGTTCAACGCCAAATATTTATGTGAAGCGACCTTTTTCATCTTCGACAATCCAAATGCCGTTCAGTGCTGAAAATACTGAAGATACTTTACATCCAACAGTGTCAAATATTGCCCCAAGATTTAATTTGCTGTGCAGCAAAATAAAAGCACATTCATCTCATTAAAAGTTTTAATTAAACATTAAATTTTCTTTCACAAATTTTGTACAGTTGAAACAAAACTATTTCTTTTCATAGGTTTGTATATTGTTTGCAAAAGAAAGAAATTACTTATGATAAATATTAATTTTTATATCGTTATTTTGTATTTAATGTTAGGGGTAGCGAAAAATTCTCAGTGATAAAAAGGGATCATAAATGAAGAAAGTTTAAGAAACGCTGCTATACGAAGACAATGAAATGACACGATAATACAATGATGATATTAAAGAAGCAATAATATCGGTATAATAATAATAATGACGATATTGTCATAAACATATTGAGAATAATATGGAAATGATAATGGCATGCTATTGATAATGATAATGAGAAAAGTTATATCTGGTAATAAGTGGCCGATAATAATTTTGATTTTGCGTTTGCGTTCAAATACTATATATATATTTCTAGATTTTGTTTGTATTTAAAATATCAAAAATGCTTTTTTACCCTTAAAAAGGATGAGAAACAAATTATTGTCCTTCAGCGCCCATTGTAAATGGAACAAATTTATTTATTTTAGTACTTATTAGACTTAAGATCCTCAAGTTTCTTCATCCTCTTTTTTCCAAATATATATATAATATATTAACTTTAAGATTAATTTATGAAATATTGTATCATGTGTTGAAGTTTTAGTTTATCTGATGCCTATATAAGAAACATAATCAGAAGCACAGTTTAATGATTAAAATATTTAGGTACAATTTACAATTTTTAATTATAAGCATGTTTAAGATAATTGCTTGAAAAAATAAAAGAATTTATCTTAATATTTGTATTAACTTTTCTGCATTAAAAGTAAAGCTCTTAATAATTTGTTACTGAAGTTGTTTATTCATTCTTTCAGGTGCATATTTGTAAAAATAAATTTTAATGATAACAAAGAATAATTTAATAATAACAAAAGAAATGAACTCTGAAATTTAGATTTTTCAGTATTAGATAAATTTTGTTTTAATTAATTTAGTTTTGATAAAAGAATGTAAAGTGCAATCATCAAATTCTTGACCATATTGTAAAGTACAAAACAGAAAATTTCTCATGTTGAAAGAATAAAAATGGGGCAAAATATATACACTTGCTTACAATTATGTTTAGTCAATTGTAAATTCTCATCAAAATGTAACCTTGGATCTCAGTTTAGAATATATTTGTATTCCATTATGAAATAAATCTAACAGTATTATCGTTCTCAGCATTTGGGATAAAAAGGTTAATGAATAAGAAATTATGTATGGAAGGAAATTAAAAGGCATATGGGTTCTATAAATAATTATAAAATCCTAAACTATATTTCAATTATTTTTGTTCTTTAATTCTAAATGATGAAACTTAGTTTCATCATTTAGAATTAAAGAACATTAATTAAGAAAAAATAAATAAAATTAAAAATATATTTTATTACAATGATTTTTGGGGCAAAGTGAATTGTAAACGAAATTCTTTTCGGAATTTTGAACTTCAGTATTAACCATTAGCATTTAGTGCAGTTTTATTATTCAGTATTAACCATTAGCATTTAGTGCAATTTTATTTTTCAGAATTAAGAAATGAAATATTTACTAAGGTTAGGAATTCAGAAACTAGTAATGTGCTACCGTTTAATCTTTTAATGCTTAGACATTTCTCTTTCATTCTGCGCATCACAGACATTTTTTAATGGCTATATTAACAACCAATCGATAGCATTCCATTATTGCTACAAGCGCAGTTACTTTCATAGATTTCTAATAAATCAGTTCTTCTCATGTAATTAAACTTAAAGTATACTTCTTTGAGTATTATGGATAAAAAGAGAAGCTGATGATTGCATTAATTTATGGATAAAGCATTTAAAATTTAATCAGTCTGCATGTGCTTAATAAGTTGAGAATTTTTAAAAGTAATAGTAGCTCATTTCTTTATAATATATATTTTTATTTTATTTCGTAATATTATATCTAATTTACGTGATTTAAAATACACTTAACTTTAAATATTCAATCGATAACTTTTATGAACATGTTTAGTATAATTATGATCAACAAAACATGTTTCTAGAGCCAAATATTATTATCTAAAGAACACAGTCGTATAGTTTTAGATGATATTTTCCCTATACTTAACTTACATGTATCAAGAACTGCATTAAAAAGCTGATGTAATTTTGTTGTTGAGTTCGAATAAAGTGATAAATTAAGATAAGTAAGAAGTCTTATGTGATTAGACAGAGAGCGTAATTTAAAATAGACTAGTTAAGTTTTAAGGTATCGATTCCTTTAAAATGGTGTGTGGTGTGGTGTATTTAATTATGGCAAAGCACAATAGGCCTATCTGCCTAAGGGGAGGGAAGCCTTCGTGGAGGACGTTCTAAGGGAAACTGGCTCGTATACACGTTACACATGGGGAAAACCACGAAAACGCCCATGCAGCCAGCCCGTTCGCGGGATTCGAACCTCGGACCGAATTACCAGTGTTCAGCGACTTTACCGCTCGGCCGCTGGTGGGCCCTTCCTTTAAAATGAAAATTTATTTAAATTAAAAAAAATAATTTAAAACTTAGAAAAAATTATACTTATATAAGGCTATTTACAAAGCTAATTTTTTTGCTGTATTCTGAAGGCAAATTACATTTATGTAAATATCTTAATAAATGCAAGTTAATGCTTGCATCATTCATTATTAAATTCTTGTAGCATTTTACTGTCGATAAATTTTATAATAAAATAAAATAGTAATGTTAGATAATAAAATGCATGCGTAGGAATGCAGGATTTAAATAAAATTTCGTTTTACTGATTTGATATTTAGCTTACTTCGTTAAAAGTTATGTTTAACTTAGTCACTATTTAAAAATTCAATAAATCATCAAAAGAAGAGGCTGCCTTAGGCCTGGATGGGAATTTAAAAGGATTAGGTTTAATAAGGGATAGGTACATAATTGAAAGCCTTATGAAAGAAACATTTTTGAAAAACTTCAGCAACGAAATGGCTAATTTTGAGATAGAATTAAAATTAGCAAAATGCTTAATGTTTTTTTAACTGTTAACAAAAAATTTAATGGTTTTATAAGGCATTCTAGGCAAATTGTTAAAATAAACTGACATTCACGAAATATCCTTGATTTCTCGGAAGAACTTGAAATTATCTCATTGATAGTTAGCTCACAATATGTCATAACTTAAACTATACAATTTGTTTTTACGATTGTATATGAAAGGATATCTTAGAACCATATAGACAAAATGCAATTAAGATGATACAGAGATTAAGTATGTGCATATTTAAGCTAATTGTTCTCTCTCGCTCTATTTATTCGATGTGGACCAGACATAACGAAGAA